AGTTAGTGAAGAGGTTTTATTTAAGAAGCCACCCATAATGCCTAATGCAACATATTTTTCATTAATCGGGGAAGGTGCAGAATCTATAACACAAGAGTTTATAGAATCTAAAAACAACTCGGCATCAGTACTTGATATAGAGGGTGTATTTTTTTTGGAGGAAAGCATGTCAGAATTATCAGAATTAACATTTGCTAAATTTCTAATAGCCTCGCATAACATAGCATAATGGTAAGTACCATTATCACTAAAAACATGGAAGCCGATATTATCAGGTCTACCACGTTCAATCCAAACACCGATTAATTCTTTGGCGAGGCGGGTAACAGCATCAGGGACAATCCAAGGAAAAAAGAGATGATAAAATGGTGGTATATGAGACAAAGTATCCATATGAAATTTGTCAGTGTATAAAGAGATATATTTACGTAAATTGCTCAATTTGCAATTCCACCAACCAATTATGATCACTAAAGAAGGTTTATTAAAATCATTGTTTTGTTTTTGATTAGCATCAGGTAGGGAGGAAGACGATTGAGATGTAGAATTATCGAAATTTGAAGGTGGCTTGCTAGATTGCGAGGAAGGATTCGAAGATTGATAAACAAAAGTTTTAGTTATGTCCTTAAGATCGTAAATTGTTGAAATATTACGCTTGTGACAAGCGTAGTTGAACGAGCATGATCCATGATTGATCAAATAATTTCGAATCCGAAATTTTGATTGAAAAAATGTAGAACTATAATAACGACGAGACGTATGTTTAGAATTTATTAGAGTGGTCGAAATGGCCACAAATAAAATTTTTCGTTGATACATTCACTTTCAGTTTCAACGGATCAGGAAATTAAAAAAAATAAAATCCTGCTTAGTGATACGAATCGAAAATCGATTAATCGAAAAGTTCAAGTCAGCAACTAATCGATTTAAAACTCGAAGCAAATGTTTATCCATTTAAGAAAAAAAAAAATAAAATCTTTGAGTAATCTTCAAATCTATCACACCAATCGGAAGGTAGATTATTCATGTCACAAAAAATTTGCAGGACGTGATCTACAAGCCATTCGGCTATTAATTTTATACTTCATTATTATTCGGGATCTATAAAAACTTTTTTAGATCCCGAATTACAGAATTATCGTTATAAGTATAAATCAATAGCCCGAATACAGAAATGTCACTGCTAATTTTTTGTGACATGACTAATCTACCTTAGGGTTGTTAAATTACAGTAATTTTACGTAACTTTACTAAGTTTGTGTAAGATTCGGTAAATTGAAATTTCATGTAATTGTAATTTTGAGCACATGACATTTAGTTTCTGAGGTCAAATTTTCGGCGATTTAGATGTTACATTTCGGATCGTACATTCAAATCAATTGACATAATAATGCTGGCCGAAATTTTGTAAATCTGGCACTTATGTATGACATGTGAAAGTTAACATGAAATTAAAATTACATGTAATGTAAAATTGTAATTTATGTAACACAACCCTAATCTACCTCCAATAGGATTAGATATGAGGATATGACACAATTCAAACTCAGAGGTATAAATTTAATCACCGTCCCGTTACACCCGCCTGTAGAATTAATGATGGCTCAGCTCACAGCTAACGTTAATCAAGCCGAGCTAAGCTAACCAACCTCGAGCCGAGCCGAGCCGTTACTCCAATTAATTTGAGCTAAGCGATAATTAAATTTATATTTGGAAAATGGTTCTGTATCATTTCACCGATAATAATTTTTATTTCACGTGCAATCAATTCACAATCTATTTCGCCGATAGCACTAACCCTAATAATTCTGATCCTAATCCCAATAACAATGATTATCGCTAGTGAAATGAGCTGTCGGTGAAATAAATTTCTATGAATTGAGCTATCAATGAAATAAACTGAAGTAAACTGTTTATAGATTAATTATGTAATTGTCCATTAAATGAATTTATATATCTATAAATTAATTATCTATGAAATATAGTACCTATAAGTAATCGTTTATTAAATAATCAGAATTATTTCTATATAGCTCGTGAATTATTAATAAATTTTTTATTTGCAATGCTAAAAATTTATTATTAGCCAACGAATATATGTATCGGTACATAGTAATTAGTTACTTTTAACTTTAATACGTATGATACGTTAGGGTGCGCGATATACTATGCAAATCAAAACTATACATGGTATCATAAAAACTTATATTTAAAATTTTATATTTACTTATAATTTTTCGCGAAATTTAAATAGATGCACAGCCTTAACGGTTTAATATTTTAGGATAAAATTTTGTAGAGGCCAATACTATAGCTCTACAAGCAAAGTTACGAAGCTATTTTTCTTATTTAAATATAAAAATAAAGAAATAGTTTAGTCAACTTTTTAAAATTCTTCAAGTTTAAAGGGAATGGCTTCGTAACTTTGGTTGTAGAGTTATCATATTGGTCTCTGCGAAATTTTATCCCAAAATAATAAACCGTTAGAGCTGTGCATCTATTTAAATTTCACAAAAAACTATAAGTAAAATTTGATATATAAAATTTTAGATATTAAGTTTTTGTATTATACCACATATAGTTTTGATTTACATAGTAGGATGTTCTATAGAATAGGTGGGCAATATAAGAAATAAGCTTCGCTAATGATTAGTAATCATTAATTTTTTAATAGCGGAGTTTGTGAAGTTTGCACATTCGCTACGTAGATTATGTTAGGGTGAAATTTGTGTTTAGCTATGTTTTTTATTATGCAAAGCGAATTTCACTCTCATGTGATCTATGTAGCAGATTTTACTAATTCACAGCATGGGTTTCACCCTGTTGTAAAATTTCTAAATAGATCATATGTGTTAATTTGATATATTAATCAATTTTGGATGATTCAATCACCAATATATTTGTCTCAATAAGATGATTCTAACAAGTTCAAAATCATCAAAATTTAATTATAAGATCCCAAATATACATGTCGACAAAATTATTTTAGGTTTCAGGGTATGAAATTAAAATTTGAAGATGAAATTGTTTTTGACCTATTTTACTTAAAAGATGAAATTTTTTGATATTTTTTTTGAAGAAATGAAATTATAAAGAACATAACTACTGTAATATAACATTGTTAAACCTTTGGTTAACAAGTCACATTACTTGACTAAGTGTTTGAGTAGTTAAGAAATATTTGTATAATTTTATAATAGAAAATAACTCAAAAATAAAATAAAATATTGTCAACTTATTATCAATGTGACCTTAAATAAGAAAGGTTATAACCAACAGATTTTATACTAAAGACAGATTTTATTAACTCAAAAAATACTCAAAAGAATAATACAGATAAAACAATATTATAACTCAAGAAAAATACAATAATTCCAAGATAAATATCACAATTATAACAGAAAAACAAAAAGAGATTATATCACTATTTAAAGAAGAAAATAAGAATAACCCAAGCTCAAGACAAAAACTATAAGCAGAATATCAAAAATATAAGGTTATAATGACTAAAATATGTAGACCAACTGTTTTTGTGCCTTAGAGAAAATGAAGAGGTTTAAATATCTTTTTCCAAAATATTAAATTACTATAGAAACATAGTAATTTATTAAAAAAAAGTATTTTTTATTAATGGAAAAGCACTTTCTTCTATAGGAAGAACATTTTTTGATATTGGATAGGCACTTCCAGATAGTGGATAGGCACCTTAGAATGATTGAAATAATAGATTAAACACCTTTTACTAAGGAATGAGCACTTTTTCTTATAGAATAAGCATCTTTTATTATAGAATGGGCACCTTTTATTATAGTATGTGCATCTTTTAATATAATAAGGGCATTTTTGCCAAATTGAGTTTGTTTGGCTTTGTTTGTTTCTTATATTGTTGTTACATCATTCTAAGCTGTTCTGGGGCATCACTTGTGCTCATATATCTTGGTCCGGGTTTTGTTTACATTAAACAAACTAAAAATTTAAATAACTAAATAACTATTGCTTTAAATAGAATTCTGTGAAAACT